TGTGTGTGTGTGTGTGTGTGTGTGTGTGTGTGTGTGTGTGTGTGTGTGTGAGAGAGAGCTGTAAACTGTCACGGTGCCCATGCCAGGTTGTTTGCAGGGAAGAGTGTGTCACCGTGTGGGGGTGGCAGCCTGCGTGCACACCCCTGTGCATGTGTCCCCAGCCCTTCCCAGCGTCTTAGGCTCCCCAGGGCTGCCCAGCTGTTGCCTCCGCCTGGAGTTCTCTGCAGCCCAGGGCGGGAGCTCAGGCCAGGAACAGAGAGGGACAGCAAGAAAGTCCCTTCCCTCCTCTCACCCCCTTGGCCCGAGAGGCTTTACCTTTCCAGGACTGTCCCTTGCCATGTAGTGGATGTCGGAGTGTTTGGTGAATTGACCCTGGGTTCTGGTTTCCAGGGAGTGGCAGGAACAGCTCTGAACCTCCCACGAGTAGGGCCCCGGCTTCTCGGTCTCCTTTAGAGGATTTCCCAAGTCCTGGTTCTTAAAAAAATGTTGTATTTCTGACATGCAGAAGTTACACAGAGTAATAGAACCAATGCGCTTTACTCCCCACCCAGCTTAAAAAATAAGCTGTTACCACTGTGGTTCAAGCGCCCTGTAGACTCGTCCCTCTACCTGCTGAAATTGGTGTTTATCATTCCCATATTTCTTCATACTCATTTTTTTTTTGAGTTGGAGTCTCACTCTGTCACCCAGACTGGAGTGCAGTGGCTGCTCCCGGCCACCGCAGCCTCGACCTGCTGGGCTCTGGCGATCCTTCCGCCTCAGCCTTCCGAGTAGCCGGAATTACAGGCATGCGCTACCATGCCCGGTTGATTTTTGATTTATTGAGGTCTCGCTGCCCAGGCGGGTCTCGAACCCGCGGGCTCAGGCAATCCACTCACCTCAGCCTCCCAAAGGCGCAGGATTACAGGCTGAGCCCCCGAGCCCAGCGGCCAGCTAATTTTTAAATTTTTTGCAGAGACAATGTCTCACTATGCTGCCAAGACTGGTCTCAAACAACTGTACTCCAGTGATCCTCCCAGCTTGGCCTCTCAAAATGATGGGATTACAGGTAAAAGTCACCACTCCTGGCCACTTTAACATCATATAATATAGGCTGGGTGCGGTGGTTCATACCTGTAATCCCAGTACCTTGGGAAATTAAGACAAGAGGATTGCCTAAGCCCAGGGGTTCGGGACCTGCCTGGGCAACTTGGCAAGACTTCATCTCTACAATAAATAAAAAAAACTTAGCTGGGTGTGGTGGCATGTACCTGTAGTCCTAGTACTTAGAAGACTGAAATGGAAGGATTGTCTGAATCCAGCAGGTCAAGGTTGCGGTAGCCGTGAGCATGTCACTGCACTCCAGCTTGGGCGACAGAGATTCCGACTCAAAAAAAAAATAATAATAAAGCTTAGATAATATAGTATTCCACTATATAAATGCATCACATTTAGAAAATTTAGGTTATTTTTCACTTTTGCTCTTATAAACAGTGCTGCTATGGATATTTTTGGCTACCTCTCCTGGGATACCTATGCACTCTCTAGAGTACATGCCGAGGAGTGGAATTGCTGGGACATTGGATACACAGCTTCACCTTCTTTGTATATCGTCAAATTGCCCCCAGCGGATTTGCACCCATGTACACTCCAGGCAGCTACGGGGACTCCTTGGTGCCACATCCTCCCTTGCTGGCATGAGGTGGCTGACTTTTTTTTTTTTTTTTTTTTTT